CATGTTGAAATTTTTAATATAAATTTTTATTTTATATTTGAATCTGAAATTCGAAGCACTAATCTGTCATATTAAATTATTTATTAAAAATATTTTTAATTTTACTTTTAAATAATAATAGAATTTAAAAATTTGATTAAATGACGGATAATTATTTAATCATTCTAACGAAGATTGATTAAACTTAAATAAAATAAATAGTTTAAATATAAATCTTTCATAAATGAAATAAATTATAAATAATAATCTATTTATTGTAATTATTGATCTAATTGATGATAAAAAATTTCAACAATAGTATGAATCAGGATAATCTGAATATCGTTGTGGCATTCCTACTAATCCTAAAGTATGTTGAAGAAAGAATGTTAAATTTACACTAATGAAAAGAAATTGAAATTTTAATCATTATTTATTAATTAATAGTCCTGAATTTAATGGAAATCAATGAATAAATCTTACAATAATTGAAAATACTGTCTCTACTCAGTAACACATAATGAAAATGACCTACAACATAATATGTATCATGAATAATATCAATTGATGAATATGATAGTATAATTCCTGTCAATCCTCTAACTTCAAATATTAAAATAAATCCAATTGATTATGTAAATGAAACATTAAATTTTAATTTTGATCCATGTTATGTAGCTAGTCATCTAAATAATTTGATTCAATAGGAACTGCAATAATTACTGTTGCTGACGTAAAATATGTTTATGTATCAATATCTAATCCAACAGTGAATATATGATGTGCTCAAACAATAAAATCTAATAACCCGACTCCTAAAATTGCATAAACTATTCTTAAATTTCCAAAAATTTCTTTTTTTCCTCTTTCATTTATAATAATTTCTGAAATTAATTCAAATCCTGGAACAATTAAAATATAAACTTGTGGGTGCCCAAAAAATCAAAATAAATGTTGATATTGGATCTCTTCCTCCTATAGAATCAAAAAATGATGTATTAAAATTTTGATCAAATAATAATATAGTAATAGCCCCGGCCAATACAAGTAGTGATAAAATTAATAAAATAACAGTAATTGAAATTGACCTTAAAAATTAATTAATTTGGTCATAATTTAAAGAAAAACTTTTTATTATAAAAATTGTTACAATAAAATTTAACGATTATAAAATTGATGAAATTCCAATTATATGAATTGAAAAAATAGTAAAATCAACAGATGGTGAAGAATGATGCAAATATAGTGATGAAGGAAGATAAACAATTCATCCAGTTCCTGTATTTGGAAAAAATGAATTATTTAATATGAATAATAATAATGATGAATGAAATAGTCAAAATCTATTATTATTTATTCGTGGAAATACTAAATCTGGAGATCCTAATATTAATGGAATTAAAAAATTTCCAAATCCACCAATTACGAAAGGTATAACAATAAAAAAAATTATTAAAAGTGCATGACTTGTAACAACTGAGTTATAAATTTGATAATTATTAATTCATAATCCAGGTTTATTTAATTCTATTCGAATTAATATTCTAAAAGATGAACCAATAGTTCCTGATAAGAGATCAAAAATTATAAAAATATAATATGTTTATGATTCGTTGATATTAATCATTTATTTATAAAAATTTATTATAATAATTTTTTTAATTTAAAATATTAATAGTAATTAAATTATGTTAAGTTTTATATTTTGTCTGAAAAAGAAGTAAAATTGTGAATTTATTAGTAAAGATATAAATTCTTTTAATATTAAAGAAATAACAATATATGAATTTCAAAATTTATATAATAAAATATTTCTTTAAATTAGTATTTTTAATTGAATTAGTAGTTTTAATTGAATTAAAATTTTAATTATAGTTTATATCAATAAAATTTTAAATTGCAAAGTTGATGAAACTAAAAAATTAATTAATTTGTTAATAAATTATATCAAAATGATAACCAAACATATAAAAAACTTCTAATTTAATAACGATTTCTCAATTTGTCAACCGCCAAACAATGCGTTTTGCCTTATTAGTCCAACTCCCTGAAACCTCGTACGAATTAACAATTTTTCTCCTCATAAATATACCCCAGTGCGTGGTTAGTTAATAAAAGGTATATAATTACGTTTACGTGCTCATGAACCCGAATTATTACAATCACGGCTTCTCGGAAAGTGCAATAGGTGGTGATATACTTAATTATTCAATAAATGATTAATAAATAGCTCGGTGAAGTTCAGACTTATAACTATTGCTATCCACGGACTCTCACAATAGAATTATATCGAAATTAATGCCAACAAAATCGGTAGAGTAACGAATGTACACTTATACTGTAGTAAAGGTGTATTGGAGAAACAGATTAAAGCCAATGTATTACTATTGAATGTGAACAGGACTGCCGATTGCACGGTATAGCATCAAATTGAAATAAAATAAAATTGACTGGTTGATACGTGTTATATAAAGCAAATAGCAAGAAGTCTCAAATTATTAAAAATTACAATAGTATAAAATAAAATATATTAATCCAAATGGCTTTTATTTAGAAGACGTGTGTATCGATTAGAACAGGATAAATGAATGAACAGGTACAATTATATAGCTAAAACAAATACACAAAACGGCAAGAATGTATGTAACGCATATCAGCGGATAAAATATAACAAATTGATTTAAGTTGAAAACAGTTGCTCCTTGCAATAATACCGATCTCTGTGAAGTCACGAGTGACAGAAGGGCAGCACTTAAGGGTGAGCCGGTTATTTTCGAAAAACTAGATACAGTAGTGACTTCACAAATGACCACACTTCGGACCTCGTGACTGACCAGCGCTTATCCTCACCAATTATTTGAATTGGAACTATCCCTACTCTACGTAATCTTACCATGCGGCTGCATGAAACATAACTTGGCACACAAACAAGCGATATATATGATATTGGTGCTTGACATCAGTGACACAGTGATGCTCATTCAATTTCCGGAATATATCACCCTTCTTAATTTACCAATTTCAGTCCCGACTGTTAGTCAGTTATGAGGTCACTATTGTAGTATCGAAATTATTATTAGGCCGACTGTAGTTATGTTGTTAGTTATTTTCACTTCTAACAGATGGCCTATTTGCTGGAGATGTGTGAACGAGAAAGTATGAATGTGATGTGAGAAGCACAGCGTTGCATTGAGCATGATTCTTTTTGAAAAGAAGAAACTCGTGGGAGTGGAAACAGCGTCAGGTGAAAGAGCGTTGGTAGTGAGTGGTAAAAAAGAGTCATTTGTGTTGTATAAAGGAATTAGTTGTCTTTTGAGTATTTGGAATTATTGTTGTGTGTGTTTTTCGTATTGTATTTATTAACATATGTTTTATTTCCGTTTTCTTCGTTTACTATTTAATATAACAAATATCATTTATTTTATAAATTATACCAGTACACTATTGTAGCTACAAACAGATAGGTAACAGGTCAACGGCCATTGTGTTGTTGTGCTAGTATATTCTATGTACAATGATACCACCGTACAGTAAATTTCTTGCGGCTCACCGAATTACATTTACCACATCATTATGCTTTCGTTCGCAAAATTTTTACCTTCTTTAATCCAAAATTGCGCCCTAGTAATATGGATGAGGATATTCTAAAATAATAGAGGCTTCGGCATCCTCGTAAACGGG